CTTTTTAAAGAACTATAGTTTACTAACTACCTCCTCCTTTTCCCTTCTACCACAGTCTCGCGACCTGATGAAGACCTTCCAGATACCCTCGCAAACTTTCATTCGGCTGATGCTGACGTTGGAGGAGCACTACCACCCTGAGGTGCCCTATCACAATAGCATCCACGCGGCGGATGTTGCCCAGTCGGTGCACGTCCTCTTGCTCTCGCCGGCACTTGACGTAAGAATCTTTTTTTCCCTCTAAATCCTCCAAAATCTTATCATCTCTCTTTCTCCCTCTGCAGTCAGTCTTCACCGACCTGGAGATCCTCACCGCCCTCTGGGCGGCGGCCATCCACGACATTGACCACCCCGGCGTGACCAACCAGTACCTGATCAACAGCAGCTCAGAGCTGGCGCTCATGTACAACGACGAGTCGGTGCTGGAGGCGCACTCGCTGGCGGTGGCCTTCAAGGTGCTCCAGGACCCGGACTGCGACATCTTCGTCAACCTGAGCAAGAAGCAGCGGCAGACGCTGCGGCGGATGACCATCGACATGGTGCTTGCGACGGACATGAGCAAGCACATGAGTCTGCTGGCGGACCTGAAGACGATGGTCGAGACGAAGAAGGTGGCCGGAAGTGGGGTGCTCTTCCTGGACAACTACACCGAGCGGATTCAGGTGCTGCAGAACATGCTCCACTGCGCCGACCTGTCCAATCCGACAAAGCGACTTCATCTCTATCAAAAGTGGTGCAGCCTGCTGATGGAGGAGTTCTTCCAGCAGGGAGACAAGGAGCGGGCGCAGGGGCTGGAGATTTCGCCCATGTGCGACCGCACCAACGCCACCATCGAGAAGAGTCAGGTGGGCTTCATTGACTATATCGGTAAGTCCCATAGTTTTTCTTCTCCTGTAAAACACCAAACACCTAACTTTTATTTTATTTCAATTTGCAGTCCATCCTCTTTGGGAGACCTGGGCCGACCTCGTTCACCCTGACGCGCAGGACATTCTGGACACGTTGGAGGAGAACCGGGACTGGTACCAGAGCATGATTCCCGCCAGTCCGCCCACTGAATCGGCCAGTGATGGAGGCGAAGGCTGTCAGACGGGCGGCACCAACTCCAATGGCAGTCGGCGAGACTCGCTCGCGACGATGGCGGAGAAGATCAAGTTTCAGATTACCATTGAGGAGCCGGAGGAGGAGGAGGCGGCGGCGGCATCCATTGCTGCCACCACCACCGAGTCGGCAGAAAAGAAAGAGCTTACCGAGTCGCAGCAGACAGCAGCAGAAGAGAGTTGAGGAGAGGCAGATGAAGGCAAATTGTTATCAGCAGCAGCAGCAACAGCAGCAAAGATCAGCAGTTTTTCTTTCTTTCTTGAGCAGCTTTTGGTGTGTGTGCATAAAACACACACACCCTCAAAACCACACACTACAGTCGACTGAAACTTCCTACCTTCCTCTCTTTTCTTCACACCGTGATATGTCCAACACAACCACAGACTGGCTGAACACTACTACAGAACTTCTTTTTCTTCTCCTTCATCTACCTACCTACCTACTGACTGCCCGCCTGCTTGACTGACTGAACGAACACTGACCCTGCCACTGGCCACTCATCATCAGAGTTTTTACCCTCTCTTTTATTACCTCTTATTTTCTTCTTTCTTTTCCTTTCTGTACATAGCACACACACACACTTACAAGAAATGATGAGAAAAAGTCCTGTGCTGGTGTGTTCAGTGTTCCATCGGCAGCAGCAGCATCAGTTAATACTCCTTTCGCTGGGCAGCTTTCTACCCTCATCTTCTTTTTCTTCCTCCTCCTCCTCTTTTCGGTGCTTTCTGATAACTTTTTATCAGCTTCCAGTGACGACCCTGAAAACGCCAAACCCAACTCTTCTCGGTGCTCTTCCGCTGCCCCTTCCCCTCCAAACACTGACACACCAAAGGACTGCACCTCACCTCAACTGAACCTTTTCCCTTGATGCCATCGCTCCCTCTCAGCCCCTTATCCCCAAAACCATTGCCCCCATTCATTCACCCCACTCACTCACTCACTCACCTCATTTGCCGCTGCTGTCTGTACATGTTTTATCTTCTCTCTCTCTTTCTTGCTCTTGACTCACAGAGAACTCCCGTCACCTTTTAAACAGCTCTCTGCTACCTACTCTACTACCTTCACACACACACACACTTTCTTTTTTCAATGTGTACACCATTTGTTTTTATTTTATTATTATTATTCTTGATTATTTCTGATGAGCATGAAGAACTTCTTGGTTCTTTCATCTCTTTCTTCTTCTTCTTTTTCTTCTTCTTATTTCTCTCGCTTCACCGTAGAGAGGATTCACACTCATACACTACACACACACAAACACACTTTCGGCCACTTTTGGTCGGTTTTTCCTCCTCTCTCTCTTTCTCCTTATAAATATCTATCTTTTGTTGTTATATATCGCATGTTGTTTTTATTATTTAAAATGATAAAATAATAAATAAGAAGTGAAATTAATTAATTAACAATTTGGTTTTTTCAATATTATTCTTGGTTGCTTCAAAGCCTTGTTACTCCAGTATAAAACAACTTTTTTTCTTTATCAAGAAACTGAGCACAAAAAAACTCGTCAAATTTCAGTATGACCTACTTGATTTTGTTTTTCACATTTTTTTCTTATCAATTTGGTTGTTCGCAAAGTCACTTTTGAGCACAAAAATTTATCAATCAAAAATTTATCAATCAAAAAACGATAAACGATTTTCTCTGCATTTTCTCTTCTGATATCGTTTGGCTCGCATTTGATTTGATTACATAACTGGAACATTTCTTTGCTCTTGTCACTCAGNCCTCTCTCTCTTTCTCCTTATAAATATCTATCTTTTGTTGTTATATATCGAATGTTGTTTTTATTATTTAAAATGATAAAATAATAAATAAAAAGTGAAATTAATTAATTAACTACTCGGTTTTTTCAATATTATACTTGGTTGTTTTAAAACCTTGTTACTCCAGTATAAAAACAATTTTTTTATCAAAAAACTTAGCACAGAAAAAACTCGTCAAATCTCAGTATGACCTACTTGATTTTGTTTTTCACATTTTTTTTATCAATTTGGTTGCGCCCCTGGCAGTCACTTTTAAGCACAAAAATTTATCAAACAAAAAACGATAAACGATTTTCTCTGCATCTTCTCTTCTGATACCGTTTAGCTCGCATTTGATTTGATTACATAACTGGAACATGTCTTTACTCTTGTCACTCACTTATCACGCTATTCTCAGCGTTGCTATAAACAGACACGTCAAAGTCGTTGGTAAAGTCACTTCAGAAGTGAGGGCAAACACATCAAGTCACCAAAAAATGGGTCCTCAATTTGCTTTTCTTTTGATTGTTTTCGTTGCAGTTTTTCAATTGCAGCCAATTTCACCAGTCCTGGCCTCGGTAATTGCTGCTGCTGATGATCCACAAACCAGCAGTAGTAATGCCACATCTTTGGTCAGCCCAGCAGCAGCAACCACAGCAGCGGCAACCACAATTTCCGGACTGGTGAACATATCAAGTAAAGAGAGAAAGATATACTGCTAAAACCAAAACATGAAATAATTTCTTGTTTTCTTTTTGCTAGCCTGCACCCACTGCCTGAATTGCTTCGTGCTGAACAGCGGCCATGCCATCCCGGCCGTCGGCCTGGGCACCTCCAGGCTGGGCACCATGGAGGAGGACGTGGTGAGAGCGATCAAGGACGCCGTCGACGTCGGCTACCGCCACTTTGACACGGCCGCTTTGTACGTAATTTTGTTCTTTTTTTCTTTTCTAATACTCAAAACTTTCAGCTATTTCAACGAGAAGGCCATCGGCAAGGCGCTGGAGGAGCTGCGAACCTCGGGAAAAGTGAAACGCGAGGAGCTTTTCATCACCACCAAGGTCTGGTCAAACAGTCACACCGAGGAGCTGGCTCTTGCCTCAGTTCGCCGCTCGCTGGCCAACCTCCGTCTGGAGTACCTTGACCTGGTGCTGGTCCACTGGCCGCAGAGCTTCCGCTCCGGTGGTGACTACATTCCCCGAGTGAATGGAAACATCAGCGGCACCATCCTCGCCCCAGTTGACCCGACCAAGGAGAACTTCACTCTCGCCTACAAAGGGCTGGAGCAGGCGGTGGCCCTCAACCTCACCCGATCCATCGGCGTGTCCAATTTTAACCGCGGTCAGCTGGAAAAACTGCTGCAAACGCCCAATTTGGCCATAAAACCAGCGGTCAATCAGGTGGAACTTCACCCTTTTCTTTCCCAGAAGGACCTACTCGAGTACGCCACCTCGGTGGGCGTTCGTTTGGAGGCGTACAGTCCGTTGCGACGAGGAGATGCGAAGATGCTGGAAAACCCCTCGCTGAAAGCAATTGCCGCCAAGTACGGCAAGTCGGTCGCTCAGGTGGTGCTTCGCTGGCAGCTGCAACGCGGCGTCATCGTCATCCCGAAGACCTCCCGCCGAGCTCGAATGGTGGAGAATGCTGACCTCTTTAGCCCTGGGTTTCTGCTCACCGCCGAGGAGGTGGCCACCGTGGAGACGCTGAACGCCGATGATCGGCTGATCAAGTTCGAGGACAGCGCCCACCTGGCGGAGTATCCCTTTTAGACTGAGAGAGTTGATAAGGCTCACATTGTAACTTTGCTAGATTTTGAATAGGGTGTAAAAGAGTAGAGCCTTTCTAGTGTCGAGAAATGATTTGAGCTTTTGGCCACCAATGACTGGTGTTCTCATTTTTCTCTAACCACTGTTTTTTGCCCGAATAAAAGAATGAAAAGGAAAAACATCTTCATCATCTCGAGTTGTACAGTATGACTCACCACCACGACCACCACCGAACAGATAAAACACAGACCGCAGGAGCAACAACTCTCAACAAACATTTTTTTATTGTCGTGCAAGCGAACAGGCGAAAGAAAGCGGGGGACAGTTAGAAGCTGAAAGAAAAGAGACATTGCCTCCACCAGGCACTACTTCTACAACTGCTGCAACAGGCAGAACAAGTGCAGACAAGTGCTTGACGGCGGTGAACCTTACTGGAACTAAACTAAAGTGAAAGAGAGA